TAATTTCAAGCGCTCGCTTATGCGCGCTTTAATTAANCATATTGCACAAATCATATGCAAATTAGAAAGCCATGAGAATGGTTAAACTCTCGAAACTTACAAATAAGCAACGTCAAATATTCACTCAAAAAAAGTATAACGATAGTTATATTTTCTCAACTTAAAAATAACAAACTAGTTCTGCTTACTATCGAACTTAAATTTTGTGTATCACTGGTTCTATTAATGTTGTTTCTTTGTTTTTAAATGTAAATCATTTCTGAAACTATACTTTTAAATACTTATTAAATAAATAAAAACACACACAAGCAAGCGCTCTAAATTACTTGGGATAAGGCTCTTAAATTTTTAAATACTTGTTTAGTAAATAAAATTGCGGTGAAGCGAGTGCGGGAAATACTTGGGTAGAAACTCTTGATTAGTAAGTATTTTTAAAATTGAGTGAACCGTGCGTATTGGGTTTCGTGAGTGAGTTTTTATGCATACACGTTTTTCTGTTGTTAGTATTGTATAAATAAATAAATATCCTAACATTTCTTAATACGGAATATTTGAATAAAAAAAAAAAGTGACTCTATTGAGTCTTGAACTCATGATCATTGGGTCCAAAACAGAACGCGTACTCAACTGAGCTAACACTCAATATGGGTAATTGAACTTAAAACTTACATATGTTCATAGTATGTACCAGAGCTTAACCTTTACTTGTGTATGTTTTCGTTGATTACATTTTAATTTTAGTTTTGTATACCCTAAGTTAAACCTACTTGGATATTTTACTTTTCCTCAATTTTTGAAGAAAAGCTTTTAAGCGTCGGCCTGCAAGTGTCGCAGGACTCCAGCGATTAGTTTGTTGAGTTTTTATTTATGTTTGAACTAATAATGAATCAAAGTATATGATCGCACTGGGTAACTGAGGATCAGCTGCTTGGGATGAGTCCTAAAATTTGTATATATATTTATATATCGATGGCTGCGACGAAGACAATCACAGAGTGCCGTCACCCCATTTGAAATCACACGGCGTGACGTCACGCTGTGATTGTCTTCGTCGCAGCCATCGATATATATATAGATGTACATAAATTTCCTCTCATTTATAGATATTTTAGTCTCTATATATACTTTTTATACTGAATGCCGAAGTATTATGGCTCGATAATGGGACCATGCGACCTCAACTAATGTTGAGCTCTTACTCTCCCAAGTTGGGAAGCTCAGCTTACCAACTCCGAGGTTTGACGCTTCCAGCGTCGTGCTCTCTGCATCCAACGATTCGTCGACATCTGACGCTACCAAACACATACGATGAGCCTTCCAATTTGGAAACAAGATACTTCAAAAAATTTCTACTTGATATATTACCAAGTTTGGATTGATTTCAGTCGTATTTTAAAATTTTAGAAGTAAGAAATTTATTGAGCTTGGGTATTACCAAGGTTGGAGATATCCTACATCCAAATTTCTTTCAGTGTACAAAAACGGAATAGGATGGAGGGCCACCCATTTAAGTGCTCAGAGAATCTAGAGTTTATGACAATAACAGAAGTACCCAACACAGAAGTCAGAGATGTGCTGCACAACAGAGGATGCATGAACAGCAAAGAAAGAAGCGTAGGAGAAGCTAAAATAACAAAGGCAAAAAGACCAAAAATTATGCATATCTGTATGAAGAAGCATTTTGATGAAACGGCGCTTAAATCTGACATTAAAAATGTATTAAGGCTTTTAAAGAAGTAATAGTAGTAAATGAAATATAAACGATTGGGATTGTTAGGGACCTAGCGATCTTTAAACAAACCCAGTGGGAATATTTTGTCGATACCTTCGAGAAAATATTTAAGATATTAGACAAGCGGCAGTACTCTACACGAATACTCTAGCAATCCCACCAGTAGATTTAAGGTTTAAAATCATTAGAGGATACCACGAAGCGATAATAGGTGAACATAGAAAAATAAATAAGACATAGCAGGATCGCCAAAGACTACTACTGGAGGGACATGCGCCCAGATGTGATACAGGTCATCCTCGAATGCACATCATGACAAACTAAAAAACTCGTCCAAATTGAAACAAAAAAAGTCATGCTCGTCACCGACACACCGAGTAGACCGTTCGAAAAGATTTCTATAGACTTCTATGGGCCCATCAGCAAACCCTCAGCAAATCAGTACACACACATACTATCTGCGCAAGACCAGCTAACGAAATTTATCGTCCTTGCTCCTGTGAAAAGAGCAACAGCCAAAGTAACAGTGGTAACGATTACATATAAATTTATAGCGTACTTTGGGTCACGGAAACATTTATTATCGGACCGAGGCTCTCATTTTATGAACAAAAGTGTGCGAGGTTGTTTAAAATAGACAAAATGAGCAGCATAGCAGTCCACTCACAAACAAACGGCGCTATCAAAAGTACGCATCATACACTCGCGGAGTATATCAAGGCCTACCTAGAACAAAGTGATCACCGTGACAAACATTTACAAATGTTCATGCACTTATATAATACCACGGGCCATCAGAGTACGGGATACTCACTGTACGAACTAGTTTTTGGACAGAGAGCCAGAACACCATCTAATATCAAACTGCCACTCAAGGGCCAAACTCCAAACAAATATTTAAAAGAGTTAGTTAAGACCCTGACAGAAATGAGAACTATCGCAGCAATGAACCACGTTCAGGCGAAATACCGATCAAAGTGTTACTATGACCGCAAACTGAAACCAAGATATTTCTTGAAGAGAGAAATGGTTTATGTTCTGAAAGAGCCATCGAAGAATAAATATGATTCGCAATACGAAGGCCTATATGAAATAACAGGTATAGATTGTTTCAACAAAAATGTAAAACTACAGAGAGGCGACTAAATATGAGTATCGTACGCAGATAAGATTAATAAAGCTTGTATGGTAAAAGCTCTGCCAGAGAATGCGAACAGGGTAAGGAACATGAAGGTACAGATGTGAACATTTGACTTCGCTTAAAATTTTAAAGGCCTCCGGACGCAGTACAAAAATATAACAAAAAAGAGGAAACAATTAGGTTTACGATAAATTTTTCGTGGATCCTGGAGGCATCGCAAACTAGATACATACATATATTAGACTCAGGTACGCAAGTTCATAGAAAAAAACAACTGTAATGAGGAGGTACGCATGAACAAAGCATTAATAACATCAATTAATAGTAGATTTTGCATCACATGAATAGAAATAAAACAAAGCAAATAAGAGCACGTGTGGCTCTTTCTAATAAGGAGACATACTCCAATGAGCGTAGAATTAATTGACAGGCAAAATGTACATATTACAGATGGTAAAATACAAAAAATATAAATACGTATAAGCTAAGGTGTACATATAAATTAAAATTAATTCATGCGAGGGGTACACAAAAAAGTTTATGTGAAATTAGGAACCGGAAATAGTATGAACAAATAACAATTTGCTTTGTACCCATTGACATCAGTATTGTATAAGAAAAACTGATTTTAGAAATTATTGTTAGGTCGAGAGGAGTATGGGGTAATGAAAGTAAAATAAATCAGGCAATCGCAGGAATAATAAATTTATTTTCTAATAGGCCCACGAGCTCACGTCGAGTATAAGAGGTTAAACTTTCTTTCTTCCCCCCTTTCGTCGTCCTCCATCAGAAACAATCTTACTCTGTCTGTCATGATATGCTGACAATCAGAACGTCTGAGACGGCACACACAGTCGTCATGAGATATCGAATCGACTGCCACGTCTAAGGCAACGAGAAGACCGTTTGTTGGACCGTCCACCTCAAAGAAAGGGGCATCAGTATTGGAAAGAAGGCATACGGATCTGCAACGACCCGCATGCTTAACTGAAATAATAATGGGTGCTTCCGATCGTATAAACTACTACTTACATGATGACATTGCGCAACAGTACACAAGAGCTGCTCCTGCACAATTGCGTCTACAGGACCACACAAAAAGACCCTCCTGGTGCCAGGAATTGTCTTTTCACCAAAGCTATGTCTAAGCTCAGCTCCGAAAACTCTGACAGCGGCGCGAACACCTTAAAAAGCGCATTTTTGTAGACATCATAAAAAAAATTTAAAATTCTGTTGTTTTAGGGGAGAAGTAGTGAAAAAGCAGCGAACGAATTCAGCAAATGCGTCTATGGCGTTGAGAGTGGAAGCAAATAAAAAATACCCATATAATTCCTTCCCTAAATCTAATTCCATGAGAGAAGAGAAAGAAGGAGTACAAGGAAAACATAGTATTAGAAAATTTAAGGATGAAAAGTACTAGAAAAATTTACGACACAGGTCAAAACTTAAATGTGGAATACACCGCACTGAAATGATTTTTTTATTCATACCTCCAAGCTTGTTACGACCAAAACACATGTGAAATGTAAGACGATCGATCGTCAAACTATCTGACTCTACAGTGTTCTCGAATATGTTACATAACCCCGCAGGCAAGATGGGGCGTATAATATTATAACCGACTATTCACACACTTAATAAGCGACTCATATGCACACGTATAACCGATGCGAAATAAAAGATAATGTAAAGAAACATATTTACGATTAAGATCCTTTAAACAAGCAAAAAATACCCACATTAACAGAAATACTAAAATAAACTACTATAATTATACAGAAAAAGGGAAAGTAAAAAAATTAAAAGATACGTTTATTACTATATATTTTATTTGTAAGGGGAGAGCCACACTTGCAGCTCAACGCTGATAAAAAAAAGGGGAAAAATCAGAGAAAAAGTGTGCTCCATACAGTAATACTCTTAGATAGCTATCGATAAGGTATACATAGTGTCTGGGCACATATTTAGCACATGGACTGAAACGCGTGCTCGTAGGAAGGAACCAGGGTCAGCAACTAATATTTAACAGTTTTACATATTACAGGATTATTTAATTTAGAAATGGGCCTTCTTTCTCTTATAGATAAGTGCTTACTTCATCGGGGGGTCCTATTAATATGTTATAGAATGATTACAGGAAAACAAGGAACTCCAGAAGAAACACAAGAATTCGCAGCAGTTCAGATCACGCCAATAGTACAACTCCAAGCAGAAAGGCGACTGCAACCCTCTAGACGAGTAATAGTAATAGAGTTACGGTTGGCCGTGGCACATGAATAAAATTCACGAGAAAACGAGTATTAGCACCGGGAGTCGCTCGACTGTATCGGGGGACGCACTCCGTAGGACGATACTCAGAAAGAATTTTTGAAGTCATACTCCTATAGGCGCGCTCTGCCCTATGAAGTAAATCAACGATTTCAGATTGGTGACCTTGAGAAAAAGTGTGACGGAAGTGGATTTCACTCGATTCTCCCTCTTTGCCCAGCCTCTCTTGACGTGCTTCCGGTCCCATGTCCATCACACAACGTTTTTTATGACTCAACGGATTTTATGACTTATATTTCTATTTCTTTTAACCAATTCTTGGAAAAAAAAAAAAAAAAACTGTTTCCAAATGAATTTGAACCCGCAGCCTTTTACATGCCAGCCAAGTGCCTTACCCACTCCGCTACGAGTGCGCATGATATTGGAAACTTGGTTTCTTCAACTTATCTACTTCTACTTACAGAAGAGAGTATTAATCTCTTAAACTCTATTTATTTGATATAAAACCACAGGGCCTCTCTACAGTGCTACTTTGTAAGTTGAATATGCAGATTTATGTCTTGACGTATCGACGTTAGCAGTAGCACGTTTGCTGTAGAACTAGCTCAGCTAAACTGCGCGTCTCGCTGCGAGCCCGCGCGAGCGCCGCGCGCAACAGCTGGGTGAGAGAGGAAGGGAGGAACCATCTAAGGAGTACTGGCAGCATTGGTGGCAAAGCTATTTAGCTTGACAACAAATTTAATAAAAAAATTTTTATTTTGTTATTGAAAATCTAATTTTTGAGAATATTAAATAGTTTAAAAGACTCTGCAAGGTCTTTTTTATATACGCTCGATCCTATTATCGAGCTATAATACTTCGGCATTGAGTGTAAAAAGTATGTAGGTAAACCGATTCAAATACATTGATGGGAGAGAGGAGTAATGTATAATATATACTTGGCATATTACGGTGTATTGGCGTAATGTGAAGGAGGGAGTGTATATATTTTCTTGTTTAGTGTTTTGAGAATGAGTCTTAAAATTTGCATATTTATAAGAACCTCACACCGAGAGACTGAGGTGCTCACACTTGTGCGCTTTTATTTATCCAACAAGTATTTTAAACTTTGAGGGCTTCAGCTCAAGTAATTTCAAGCGCTCGCTTATGTGCGCTTTNCAAAGTTTTATGGCATACTGTCGAAAATTTTAGTTTTCATTCCGAAAAAATGTGTACAACGTTTCGGTTGTATATTGACAAACCTTTTCAAGTAAACTGTAACAACAAAAAGCAAAGAACATACACACATACATATTGCACAAATCATATGCAAATTAGAAAGCCATGAGAATGGTTAAACTCTCGAAACTTACAAATAAGCAACGTCAAATATTCACTCAAAAAAAGTATAACGATAGTTATATTTTCTCAACTTAAAAATAACAAACTAGTTCTGCTTACTATCGAACTTAAATTTTGTGTATCACTGGTTCTATTAATGTTGTTTCTTTGTTTTTAAATGTAAATCATTTCTGAAACTATACGTTTGTAACAGTTATTTTCTTGGTCTATAATGTTAATTGAATCACTATCAAAATTAAAAAAGTGTCCTGTATTTAGAGTATGGGTAAATAAAGCCGATTTCTCGCTTTTTTTCTTCTAACATATACCACAATAATCATCAGTCTTACAATTTTTGCACTGTTTATAAATTTTTTCATGTTCTTCCGTTCTAGTTTCCAAAGTTCTGCCACTCCTACCTAAATAGCTACATGGACCACCTAAACACTGTATTTTATAAAAAAATATTGCATTTTTTAATTTTATTTATTTTGTCTCTATATAAGTTGTTAATTTTTTTCACATTTATCAGTAGATTAGCAATCTTTTTAATTTTTGATTCTATTGATTTTATGTCAGGTAAAACTATCGTATCATTATACGATAAATTTTGAAGTGTTGTAATATGTTTGTTATTATTCTTCTGATATCTTATTTTGTTTAATCTTAAACTGATGTATTTATCAATGAAATGCAATGGAATATTGTTGGCCAACAACACAGAGCATACATAGCATAGCTTGTCATTATGAAAGCGTTAATGAGACAACTTAATAGCTTCATCAACTAAACCATAAATAATTACAATTTTCTGTGCCAAAGGAGAATGGGAGTGAAAATTTAAATATAATCTAGCATGTGTGGGCTTCTTAAACAGATTTAATATTAAGGAACCATATTGTAATTTTTTTATTTTGATGTCTTAAAAACTAATACTGTCATTGACTGGCCTTTCGACTGTGAGTTGGATATTTGAATCGTACTCATTCTAATGGCTTGAGAAAATGTCTACTTTATCTTTTGGGATGCACGTTAAAACGTCATCCACATATCTGAACCACCGAAGAACATTTACTGGCATAGTCATAACACTGTCTTTTTCCAAATCACTCAAAACTTAATTCGCCAGAATCGGGCTGATAGGACTTTCCATGGCACTGCCAAAAACTTAGTGCTAAACAACTTTGTTGAAAATTAAATTATTGTTGTCTATGATAAATTGTATAACATCTAAAACCTCTTTAAGTGGTAACTCTGTCTTGTGACATAAAAACTGTCATTTTCGTTCAATGGCTATTTTAACAGCATTTCAACGAACGTTATTAAACAAAGCCACGACATTAAAACTTACTAAAGTGTAGCCTTTTGGGATCTTGAAATGATCTTATTTTTTTTATCTGTAAACTATTTTTGATGACACAATCAGATTTTGAGATATTCTTCATGAAAAATTTACTAAACCATGTAGAAAGGTGGTAAGTAAGAGAACTTATAGCAGAGATGATGATTCTTACTGGGTAGTCCTTTTTTGTACTTTTACTAATCCATAACATTTAGACATCTGTATTTTATTCTTGGTGATTTGAAAAGGTCTTTTGTTCGTACCATTTAAGTTATAATTATTTAATCTACGTTACATGTTATCTGTTTTCTCTTGTAACTATTTTAAAGGGTACTTCTTGCATATTTCATACAACTTAGTATCTTTCAAACTATCAGTAACTTTTTATAAATTATCAGATTTGTCTAAAATTATGAATTCACCTCCTTTGTCTGCTTTACTAATGATAACATTTTTGTTTTCTTTTAAAAACGGTTGAAATTTTATCAACTCTTGAGAAATCAGTCTATCATTTACACTTAAATTTTTAGAACTATCTTTCATGTTATTTTCAACACAATTTAAAATCTGATTTTTAAAATTGTTACTATCTTTTTCATTTAATCTTATTGTTTTATTTAAACTTTTGAAAAATTTCAAACTAATTAAATTGTTTTCTTTATTGTTATTGTTGGAAGTAAAATAAAAATTTCTACCTAAATTCAAAATTGGTGCAACACAGTCTGGTGATCATAAAGTAGTAATGTTGTTTATCCATTTCTCTTTTATGTGAGTAATGTTTTTATTTTCTGCACTAGTCAAATTATTTGGTTTAAAAAATTCATTTAATGGTACAATATTATTTTCTTTGGTCTTAAAGTGAAACCTAAATTTTTTATGATAGATATGTTCGAATTTAGATTGCAAATTCTTTTTAAATTTGTCACCTACCAATTTTGCTTTGGTACTAAAATAATTTTTGATTGCATTGTAAACCGATATGCCAGTCTTAGAAATAATGGTTCTTTCAAGTTTTTGTAAATATTGATTAATTTGGCTGTAGTAAATTTTTATATCAGTTATTTTATACTTTAATATCGTTAGTTTCATAGTTTATGGGAATTTTTTGATCGTATTGTTAAAAAATTTACTATGTTAGTATAAATTATCGAATGTCTTAAAACCAAACTCAATGTGTTAGAGTAAAACCTTGTGATATTTACAACGAAGGAGAAATTTACATCTTCTTCTGTTTACGGACATTTCTTTCATCTAATAAAACATATCTTGAACGTCTTGTTGTTGGTCACATCCATAAAATAGCTGTGTGTGCTTCAATATAAACATTACGTTGATGTATACAGTTCTTGTAAGGACTTCGAGCAATCCGTCTAAAGTAAATAGAGAACGAGCCATCACTTTATATGTTCTCCCAATCAAATGTGTAAAAACATGCAATACCAACATGTTACCTTAGATAAAATCAATAAAATAAAATTTAAAAAGATTGCTTAAAAACATGAAATGAATGTAGTTTACCAGTCTACGAATGAATGTAAAAAAATTGACAACTTATATAAAGACAAAATAAATAAAATTAAAAAATGCAACATTTTATCCATGTAGCTATTTAGGTCAGAGTGGCAGAACTTTGGAAACTAGAACGGAAGAACATGAAAAAATTTATAAACAGTGTAAAAATTGTAAGACTGATGATTATTGTGGTATATGTTAGAAGGAAAAAAGCGAGAAATCGGCTTTATTTACCCATGCTCTACTTTTTACAGGACACTTTTTGAGCTTTGATAGTGATTCAATTAAAATTATAGACCAAGAAAATAACTGTTACAAACGTATAGTCTCAGAAATGATTTACATTTAAAAACAAAGAAACAACATTAATAGAACCAGTGATACACAAAATTTAAGTTTGATATTAAAAAAATACATTGATAGTTTGATAAGTTGATCATCGATTTTTCCTTTTTACATAATTTGTATAAATTTCGTATTAATATATTATGTAATATGCGTGGTAGTATATTTTTATTGGTAGTTGATTATAATAATCGTCGTTTTTGATTTTCAAACTTTTATTGTTGAACGAAGATATTGTAATTTAAATCTAATGTTTTTTTATTGAACCATTACCTGATAGTGGGAGGTTAGCGCACGAAGCGTGCAAGGACGCATATTCCCACTGAAATTTATCCTCTCATTCGTATATCTGTGCGATTCATTATCTTTAGTTGTCTTACTTGCGCTGCTTCAACACGCTCTGTCGAATATTGTGTTCGAATGCATCTGTATACGTGCATACGTATATCTAATCTATGGAATATTGAACGCAACAGAAGTGCTGAACTGTGCCATATGGGCTTTTGATATATAGGACTTACATAAAGAAATCACGCTATCTCTTTAGATGGTCTCCTCAATTTGAAAAAAAAAATATATATATAAATTTAACAAAAAAAAACCTTACAATGCATTTTTTTCAAGAAGAGCGTTTTTAAAGTTTTTTTTAATGCTTCCAATCGAACAACTTTTTCATTTTTTTTCACGTTTACGTATTTACGATAACATGAAGCATAACAATTATATTTCATTGCTTACTTTTTTTTGCTTTTAAAGCTCTTTTCGTACTTTAGACCGAAAGTTTTTTCGTACTCACTACCTTTGATATTATTTTTTTTTTTTTTTGTTGCCTTACTTTTATCTAAGGGAAAATTTGGTATTTTAAACTTGAAGAAGTTTTTTTAAATTGCATTGAAGATTCATTTAATGGAATAATTACATGGTAACTCAGTATTCCAGAGTATGCTTTGGCGTATTTCTATTCTACGTTTTGATTTTAAGGCTGTTTCATTGTACGACGCCTTACTACTATAAAAAACTTTAGTCGATTGTTAAGCCGCACCATCTGATAAATAATAAATTCTTTTGATTTTAAATTTCGTTTGCAAAAACTTGATCATACTTTTTTGATACTTGTGCACCAAAACTTTATCGTGGCTGAGATTATCTAAAGTTATTAAAATACTTTGATGTTTAAGTTCATCATTGTTGTGAAAATACACTACGCAAGTAAAAAACGTCACTTGATAATTCATCCAATGGAATGATTGAAGAGAATTTTGTAAAAAAACAAGTGACCCCAGCTCAGTAGTACTCACCACTGCATTCTACTTTTACTTTTACTTTAACTTTAGATTCGGGAGCGGGTGGAAGTTCAGATTTACATTTGTAAATTTGACAACTGTGACATTTATAGTTTCTGGCTTCTTCTGATATTAATGGATATTCGTTCCTCTTACTCTCTGGAAATTTAACTAACAGCTTCGAAGTAGCGCTTGACTGGTTAGTTTTACCAAAAGGATTTGCGCATCTTGATCAAAAGATTAATTACATAGTACTAATAAATAACGTAAAATCTACAATACATAAATTCTTACATTAAAACGTATTAAATATCACAAAGTCACATAAATATCATAAAATTGAGGCTTCAGGTGTGAATAAATTGACTTAAGTAACAATGATAAAAATAAAAATGACAATTATGATATCGTCATAACGGTATCAATAACGATAATGATAACTATCATAATCAATGCTAAATAGCGTTTTCAACAACTATTGAACCGTTTTTATTTTTTCGCTCAATACGGTTGATATAAAAATAGGTTATGCATATGAAGTCGAAAATAGTTTATAAACAAACATGAGCGCGCAGTGACAGGTTAGGCTGGGCAGATGCTCGAACGGCGGCACCGCATAGCGTCCACTTTATCGCTTTACATTTCAAGAAAACAAAAAAAAACAATATTCTGAAAATTGTTACACCAATGTAATAAATTCCTGTTCTTTCGATTGAAAGCATTAAAGAGAACATTAAAAATGCCCTTCTTTGAGAAAAACTGAATTTTATGTTATTTTTTTAGGTTAAATTGGTTAAATTTTTTAGGTTATATCTTTTATTTAAACTGAGATCACCTTCAGAAAGTTTAGAAAAATACTTTGGTCCTACGTGTTTATGAAGTTTATTTAGTATTTTATAACTCTGCAATCGCGAGTTAGAAATCAAGTGTTTCGGCGGTCGTGCGTCGCACCAGAATATTTGACGTAAAACGCCTCATATGTGTAAATTTAAAGAATAGAAGCAACAACTTTTGAAGATCGCCAGTTTACAATACTTCAATAAAGATGTACAAAATATTTAAAAAGTTTTAATATGACAACTTGACCAATGAAAATCATAAAAAACGTTGCATTTTCAAGAGTAAGCAAAGTAAGCCAAATCTTTATAATTTTAAATAGAATTAGAAAAAAATATGTAAATTAATGCAACTCAGTTAGAAGTAAATAAATTGTTTTTTAACATTTCCGTATTTTGTAACGTAACCTTCAAAAAATATGAAACATAGCAACTTGAAGTTAATGCTAAAAATGTTAAAGAACATTATTTTTTATACTTTTTTAAAGGACAAAGAGAATATTAAGGAGCACAAATAGGAATAGATTAGTTAATACGCAAACATAACTTTAAAATTTTATTTTCCTTTTGCTGCATTATTTATTAAAAAGAGTTTTAACCTTAAACCGTTAAGAACATTAACCAATTTCTCATAATAATTTTATCACAATATAACTTTCAAAACAGTAGAGATAATAAGCAAGTTACTATAATTTAATACCATGTTATCAACTAAGTACCAATTCAGACGATTTAAACTACAATGTTATTTGATAATGCAGTTGTATTAAAATTCCAACACTCGACATGTAATGGTAGTTGCCTATAGTTAAAAATTTATATTGCATTAATAAAGGTATCCAAGTGAGTGTTTAAAAACACAGAGTCAGTGATAATGTGTTTGAGTTGTGCGCTATTTGTTTTACTTATAATCATGGCACTGAGTATCATGATCCACGAGATTGCTAATGAACTGAAAAGTAGCTTTGCTTTTTTTGGAAGTTTTGACACCCCACACCTTGGTAATGATCATCTAATTTTGTAAATTTATGTAAGATTATTCTGCATCAGAATTTTTCTTTGAGAATAGTTAAAAACACAGCATTTATATATGTTCGTCACTAGTAAATTTTTCTTGCAACACTACTAGGTCAAAAAATTCTACTAAACAAAAGTTCAATTTTACTTTGACTGTTTTCATATTTTTAAGTTATGGATGGATGGGCCTAACTTCAATTCAGATGAAATACGCTAGGGGCTGGTAGTCTTTTCCCTCACCAAATACATAATTTTTCGTCCATTAGAAAGCTTTTTTTTTTCGAGACATATATGTATTTAAAAAATATAGTAGTACTATACAATTGCTAAACATGCCAATTGGCAGTATTAAAGAATATACGTATCTGATTAGTCAACTATTCATTATCGCGATAGGCGGTATAAGCTGGTAAATAATGAATTTTTATAATATTACATTTTAAATTTTGTACATAATGATGATGACGACAACAATGATGACGATATAGTTATAATAATTTAATGAATAGTAATAAGAGTTTATGATGAACGAAATTAATAAAAAATTAATTAGTACTTATGTAACTCTATGTGTATTTATTTATAATACTATTATTTTTAAATATAGAGAGAGTCAGAATTATCTACAGAGCCAATTTATGCAGTTGGCACTGTAGAATGGGGTGCCTGGAAAGATGCTTATGCAAGAATGGACAAATACTGGTATTGGGGATCACTCAGACGGTTTGTTTATTACTAAATAGCAGTTAAAATGTATTATGAAGTTGACTAAGCTTAGTCCTCAAATTGTTAATTTTAGATATGCTACTTACATATTTAATGGTTACAAAAAAGATATCAACTGGAGTTGCAGCGGTATCATACGCTATTTAAATCCTTGCTACGGGTGCTCTCGATGTTACGTAGACAATAAAGAAATAATCAGCTTAAAAAAACGATGGTGGAATATGTTTGTTCCAAAAGTTAACACCTATTTAGCTGGTATTTTCATTCAGAAGCATTCCAAGTCCCATAAAAATTTAACTTGTAATTCATAAGTTTATTATGTTTAGATCAAAAAGACGTTAAGTACAGCAACGTAATTAATGAGAATTGTGGAATAATTCATGAAGCTACTATTTCTACTGTAGAGTTAAACATTTCAACACGCAACATTAACCTTTCAAAAGATATATTGACACCTGCAGCAAAAATTGAATTTGGTATGGTTATAACTATAACTTAGGATGTGATCTGTTCTCTAATTTAATTTAAGTATGAATTTTAGGACCAGAAAACATTGATTATTTTCATTTTGTCAAAGAAGGTTGGCAAAGAGTAGAAGGTAAAAAAAAATTAATCTCAAACGCCTTAGAAGCAAAAGAAATTGAAATTTATCCAACGAAATTGGATGACTCAGTAAGCAATATTAATATCTAGTACATGGCTTCTACGATTACTTAGATAAGTGATTGATCATTTGTTTCAGGCTGTAAACGAGCGTTCTTTCTACATAGATAATGAAGAATTTGAATTAAAGTCCGTGAAACTGAGACTGCTTCCAGAATCTATAAAAATATTTTGTTGTAAAAACTTGAATAAATAATAATTTTCCTAATTTTTGTTAATAGTATTAATCAATTTTTATGTAAAGAGCTTCCATATGCTCTTAAATTTAGTTTTTACCTTACACGAATCTCGTGGGTTTTGGCTTCCATCAATGTTCCCTACGCTAAGTCAGGAATTGGTGTAATGAATTCATAAGACCTTATGAGTCATGGAAAAGGCATAAAAGGCTTGGAACAAGCGACTTTCCATGATGTTAAATACAAGAGTGTACTAAATAGACACACATTTTGCGATCAAAATCAGCTAGTCAGATTTAAGACAAAACGAGTGCCATGTTAGTAAGTGCGTTCTGCTACTAATTATAAAGTTAAGTCATGACACATGCATGTTTGATCACTTTCAAATATTAAACCATGCAGATGTCTAATGCAAATAAATAGTGGCCTTACGAGACATTTGAATCTTCAGTTTATTGTCATTTTTATCTTATGAAGCCACAACTTCGTAGAAAGGTGCTATTAAAAAAAAAAAAAAAAAAAAAAAAAAAAAAAAAAAAAAAAAAAAATTTAACAGACATAAAATGAAAGGATTATACTTTTAATAGTGTGATAAAATTGGCTTTTTGGAATTTTGAATTCCAAGTTCAGAGAAAACAGTTGTCTTAACAAAAAAAAATAACAAAATGGCTAAAACAGGTTTTTTGCATTGAACATCATTGCATAAGGTAAAAAAAGCTCCTTATAAGCGTGTCTGCCGTAAAAAAAGAAAAAAAAATTAAATGCAGATGAACTAGACTAGTCCAGCAGTGACTCTACAAATTACAAAAAACCATCGATTTTGCTCGCAACTTCAAAAATTCATTGCTCTTTTTTTAAGATTCAGAGCTATAAGTTAAAGAAGTTGTAGCTTTCGTGTTTACCAAATATCATACAAAATTTAAGCAAGATCAAATGTATACTTTTTGCAAACTGCAGCTTAATGCAAAAAAAAGCACTTTTGTTAAATGGCCTTTAAAAAGTTGTAAGGTGGTAACTAGCTATTTTGTTTACGGGATCATCTTCTTCTGTAGCTAATGAACATCTTACTGACGTTTCAACTTCTGCTCTTGTATAAAAATTGCTAAAACAATGATGCTACACAACGGTATTTGATGCATTTGGCTGTGCGGTGCGCGTGGTAGGGAAAGTCACTCGATCCGAGCGGAGGAAAGTAGGCGTGGCCTATCATAGTGGCTCGCCCTTCGATGCTCTCCACACAGTCAATACACAGGCAAAATCGATATTTTTTTCGATTTGCGGGGTCATGGCTAGAGCAATCAGGTTCATCTGTAGCTCATTTTTCCGTGTTTTTACAGTGTATAAGTTTATTAAAAACTTTTTGTTACTCAATCCAACGATGTCTAATGCGGAGGCAGACTATGTCCAATGCACACCAGAATTGTGTACATTTTTGTTGTGTGAAATTTTGTTCAAAAAATATACTGCACGAACTTATGGATAAAGACTACAAAATATTTTATCATTATTTTTATGTGCACATTTGTGCTCAAGTCAATGTAAGTTTTGTGCACATTCTATCAAGATTAGATATTGTCTGTGAATAAATTTCCGCTGATTAAGGTTCAAATACTGTGCACAAAAAATGTAAATGAAATACTTTTTGATCGTTGTTCATTAGCATGTGGGCGATATTTTGTGTACGAAAATTTTTTCACAATTTTTTTGTGCACTGTGTATGGTCTGCTGACGTGGAAAACCAGTTTTAGTCATTGTTACCTTTTTTTTGAACCACTTGCAGTGACCAAAGTGTTTGATTTTAATTTCTTCAATTTGTATTATAGTCATCTACTTTAGGCAATTTTCTTCTTCGGAATCAGAATTGTGTACAAATTGACGTCATTTTATACTAATTCTAACACATAAAAAGCATTTCTGCACAGGCGTGCCATGATTTGAGAGCTCAGCACATAGGGAATATTGAAAAAATCCAGTAAATATACCTGAGAACAATTCTTTGGAAATAGTAAGGTATTAAAATTTAGCAATAGTCACAAGATGATACTTTAAGTTATTTAATGTAACATCACCCTTAAACCATACGATCCCGTGGACTTGTAGCGTCTGGTAATTATCATGCTTTTTTATATCCAACGGAAAATCATTAAAATTGCAAGGTCACTTGATTTTCTAATTGCCAACAACGTTTTCTTCTAAGGAAACTACTAAAAATTCTTTTGGTATGAAGTATCTATCAGGATTGTAAAAGCCATTGATATTGATGATAAAATGCATGATGAGTAATTTTAAATTGTGAATATTACGGTTGAAAATTAGTTTTCTCTATTTGGCGAGGTTCTCTTCTTCACCGTTGCTAATACTACTTGTGTATCATTGGTAAAACTGAGAGAATAATAAGATACAACCTGTACTTAAAACTTTTTTTTTCCAGAGCTACTGACATCTTCCCACCTACAGTGCTACTTAAGTTTGCGAAGTTTCTCAACGAGTGAGTATGAAATATAGCTTTCCTTCTCGCTCCTGTGACCTGTGACTATACTCCAATCGCTGTGACTGTAATCAAGCAGTTGCGTAGCTTAGAAGCACCACTTTACTTTTTGCAATTATTCTTACATTTTATTCTTGAAATACAATTTACACATTCTTACAGTTCTTTATGACTATTGTCAAAAAAAGATTTTAGTTAGAGAAAAATATTTTATACATTAAACTAAGTACTTTTCTTTGATTTAATTTAAAATGTATCCAATCCCTTATTGCAGAAACATTTCTAATAGCACATAAAGGGTTAGTGTTAAAGGTATAGTACTTACATAGCAAATAGTCTTTGTTAAAATTTACAATAGCTGGGCATCCATACTTCTTAATATTTACTCCAAAAGTGTAGAAAGCATGAGTGACTTGCACATTTAGTATACTTTTTATTGAATGTGTGTATGTATATACACATAGCTCATGTTTTCTACTATTTTAGTGTGAACAAACTCAATTTTCGACCGAGAAATTTAGACTGGGCCAAAAAACCACTATTGAACGAAAAAAAATATCGGCAATAGGTACAAAAAAAATGGTCAAAATGGCCAAAAAGAGGTTTTTCGCTTCTACCGGAAAAACTGTAATTCGGAAAAAAAAACGTTATACAGAAATAAGACGCACCATTTAAAGACGAACAAAATAAAACCTAGTGGACCTAAATCAGTCTTGCCATTTTTTCGCAAGTTGCCAAAAAGTGACAATTTCGCTTCTTCTTTATCTTTTCTTTGTCAATTTAAAATTCGATTTGTCACCATTGGTGTCCTTTGGAGTTTTGACTGGTTGAATCCACATCTTTCTAGTATTTTGTCGATGGATGGTGTCTGTGTAAGTGTAGTTGTTATACACTTTCTATCTCTTTCTACTAGGATACCTAGAGGAAAGTTCCAACTTCCCCAAAATCTAACATCTCAAACTCAGACTGCAGACCAATCTTAATTTTCTTTAGTTTATTTATATAATTACTTGCTATCATAGTATCATCTACATATAGAATCAAGGTCAAAAAGTTATCTTTTTCTCTCCATACGTAAGGGCAAGGTTCACTGGTGAGTGTTTGTAGTTCTAGTTTAAGTGCAGCCACACGAAAACACTTCTCTCATCTTTTCGAGCTGATCTTGAGTCCATGCAGGGCTTCTTTTAAATTACATACTTTATTTTTCTTTAGTTTTTTTTCATTAAGCAGACCTTCAGGAATCTCCATGTATATCGCTTCCTTGATTGCACCATTCAAGAAGGCTGTCTTGACATCCAGTTGACAAGTTTCCAGATTAAATTTAATAATAATTGATATTACCGATCTCACAAGAGCCAACTCAGGTACAGGAGCATGAGTATTTTGCCAGTCGTACTTATTTCTATCTTTAAATTCACGAATTACCAACCTCGCTTTTAACTTCATGGTTTCCATCTTCTTCAGAACTCGTCTAGAATCTATGATGTTCGGCCTACTTCCTTCAACATTCAAAGTTGGTCTATCTACAATTTTTCATACTTGATTGTGATGCATTGATTTCAATTCTTCGTCAATTATTCTGAAGTTTTCTTGAACAAGCTCTTTATTCTTCTTCGGCTGTCCTCGTTTTCTCTTGACTCCTCGTTCTTCTTCAGTTTCTAATAATACTTCAAGATGATTTTTACCGAACTTAATGAATGATTCATCTTGTTTAATATCTATCTTATGATTATTTCAGTTTGCTATTTTGTCTTTTCCCCAGGTATCGCTAAATGCAAGTCTTTCATGAAATTTTACATCCTGACTCTCATAAAATTTTCCATTCTCTGGTCTCAGAAAAATGTAGCCGGTAGTAGTGTAGCCAACCAGTACTTCTCGAATGCCTTGTCAGCTGAATTTGGTTCTACCTTCGAAATCTCATCAATCATTAGTTCTTTACTATTATTAATTTTTTTTATCTTTAATGGTTTTCTTAAACTCATTTTGCTGAGTGGTATCAAAACAATCGCTTTCAGATCCATTGTTTGGGATTACAGGGCAGCTTTTACTATAATTGGTGCTGACTTGGAACCTTCTTGGTCATTGCCACAGAGGCACTTTATATCACTAAGCAATCTATAATTTCCTTACATTTCTTGTCGTTGCTTATGCTCTGACCATATTGCACTTGTTCCACTATCCAATAAAGACTCTGTAGGCGTCGGAAATTAACGTCTCGTTAGAGTATGAGTCACATATATCCATCTTAGTGTTGTCTAAATAGATACACATGCCTCTATCAGCAAGCCGATGAAGCGACAGCAAGTTTCCAGCAAGCACCTCGGCACATATCACTCTATCTAGGACCATTTTATTTTTGTTATTGCTATCCGAAACCCACATTTCTCCCTTTACTCTCAAATCCACGGAAGAATTTTTATTCACTCATTTAATAAATTTTCTTTCACAATTTTTGAAATTTTTGAAGTATAATTTTGACTTAGCAAAATTTTTGGTAGCACCTGAGTCTGCTATAAACTCGGTTTTATTCTTTCTACAATCGCTTGCTAGAGTTGACTCCATGCACGTAGAGAGCAGAGTTTCAAGTCCAACAACCAGCATACTACTGCATGCATTAGATCTAAGCAATTCTATATTACTTTTACTTTCTTTATCCTTGACGTAATTATACCTTATTGACAATCGTATTT